CCATAACAGTTGCAGTGCCACTGCTTTTGCGCCCGTCACCCTGAGACATAAGTTGACCAGCACCCTTACCGTTCAAAACCGGAACATAGGAACACTGACATTACTGCTGGGCGTCAGAAACAGGTAAGGTGGCAGTACTTCCCTGGACGAACTCTTTCACAGGGAGCCCTACTGCTACCATCCTCTACAGCGCAGTTTTATCCCTGTTCTAGTTTCGACAATTGCAGGAAAATTGACATTGGTTGAGTCCAGAATATCCGCTGTTCGAATCCCTGTGGCAGCAATAACCTATGGCTTTATTTTCTGTTACGTTCATTTGTGAAAGATTAGTAGCAACAAATCGGAAAGTGAAGGAAAACACCGTGATGGAACTTAGATGTCGAAGATTCAAAACCCGCGAAGTTTCCAACCCGGATTGGATCAGTCTGGTGGACTATTTGTATTATTTTGTATTATTGTGTTGTGGTAGTCTGATTGACATTATATAACTAGACATGTGCATGCTATTTAACATATGCGAAACATGTTTGTTTGTACTGGCACTGTCACAAGGAAATTAACATTCTTACACTAGCTTCACAGTACATTTATGACAATGTAATTTATGTTAAAAGGAATAGTAATTTCTTTATGAAAAATAGTGACAGACATAACAGTAATACGACTCTTCACAAAGTCAAAAAATCATTTAAGGGGCAATGTATACGCTTCTAGAACAAGATTCCGGTTGATATACAAAATTTGCCTTTCACGAGGTTTAAAACTATAGTGAAACAAAAACTTTATACTAAAGGTTTATACAAGGTATTAAACAACTTCTGCGAACTTGGATAACAAAAATCCGTGGTAGTAACCCGTTTAGCTCATGGAAGTAGTCTCGATCTCTGATGTTTGAAATAAAAAAAAATGTTGTAAATGTTATTTACAAAGAGCAACCCCTAGAGTTTCTTGCTCATTCTTCTCAGGGGAATCTGCCTTACGAATGAGCGGTACAGTTTAACCATTGTGACGATTTCAAGTGCAATAATGCTTACCTATGAAATAAAGTTTTATTTTGAATTTGAATTTGAACTTGTAACTTCATCTGTTATTTATACCATGTTTTAAGGAAATAAACGAATTATTATTATTATGGATTAAACTCTATAGTAGCATTCGGACGCATAATAAGTTGATGATGTTGCAACAACATTTTATTAATAAATCGTCCTAAAAACCAATACGGCGCCCAAAACTAAAATTTATTGTCACTACCGTCTGATAAGACGACGCCAAAACATTTCAGAAGCTATATCAATAAAATGACGATGAAACTAATTTAGTCTAGTTACAATACGAACATTGTCGTCTAAAGTTGATACTAGCACAGGCATCTAATGTCCTAGGGCATAATTGTCTAAGTTGTAAGTGAGTCCAAAGTCAAGATGTGAAGTCAAATCCTTTATAATTCTGAAACCCAGGAGTATGTTTCAGATTTGAATTTCAAATTTCAGAATATGTATTGGATATGTATGAGTATATAGTTAATATTTAATGTTGAACATTTGACTGACTTCATGTAAGATGGTTAGATTAGCGCATACGTGTCATGTGTGGCATACCAAGGTAAGTATTTATATGGTAGCAATAGAGAAGTACCGCCATCACGGCTAATCTTGTCGCCAAATAGTAATGCTCGCATTACTGCGTTCAGGTTTTGAAGGGTAAGGTGCTGGTGAAATTACAGGCACACGATACTTGTCAAGTTTATGTCACAAGGTGATGGACGCAGTGGCAGTAGCTCCGAGATCTGCGATTTAAAAGTTTCAGAGGTTCTGCAACTGTCATGGGTAAGCGTGTCGCTTACCACCATACCAGGTGCGCGACTAGTTCGTCCTGTCCCTTGAAAACCATAAAAAAAAAGAAAATTAGCAACGGACCTTCGGTTGAACTATGCCGCAGCACTCTTATGTTTGGCGTTAATTAAAAAGAATTCATAGCGTTCAAGCACAGGTGACGTATTTTCTGCAGGGTGTGGTCCTATATAGGACTAGGTCAGCTGACCTTCTGGGTACGATCAAAATGCCCAGCCCAGTTAAAAGAGCGTCTTCCGCCTAACCTCGGATATAAGCAATTACGTCACCGCATAACGAGAAACAAATAGTCGTTTGTAACGGTGCGCCAGGCGCGAAGGTCGACTGCTAGCCAGATAAGGTTGACCAGACTTAATAAGCTGCCCACTGCCGTGCACAGGTGTTTTATGATTTTAGGAAATAATTTATGGTATTTATCTGCATGATTAAAGCAAGTTATATAGTTTTGTGAGTGATTAAAGCCTGAACCCTCGTGAAATCGTTCCTTAAACACCTTTTTACAAGTTAATTTTTGTATGTTAGCTACGCGTATGACCCACTGCTGCGCGCGGACCTCGGCTTCACTCAATGTGACAAACACACAGGTGTAGCGTAACAAACCAGTATAAAACTAGAGTAATAATTCAATTTTAGCGCCCATGAGGCAATGCTTCCTGCCGACCTGTTTTTCATAGTTTGATGTTCTCATTTTAGTAACTGACCATTATTATTTATGATTTCTATGTAGTGAATGTTTGATTATACACAAGATTATAATAATTTTTAGAATGAATTCTGATAAGCAATAACATGTCAACCAACACAATGATAGTTTTGAGAAAATGGCGTCTAAAGATTTTTTCGTGGTTTGGTTAATTTTTTTTTTTCATAATCAACATAGTCCCGCACTAGGGAAACCCTGTGTCGCAGGTGCCATACACAACCACGCATTACACTCAACTCACGAGAGAAATAAATGTAGGCCATACAAATATTTCCCCCAACCTGGGACCTCTGGCAGTTCGGCATGGTAATCATTTGGCCACGGAGGCAGGTTAATGGGTTTATGTCAACTGTTTTTATATTTTTTTATTTGGAGGTTTCAAATCACTTAGTGTGTGTGTGTGCAAAATGTAGACGAGATGACATGCTACAATTTGACATTAAAATCTGAATTTTGTGGGTTGAGACGTTATTACTTATCAGCATCCAAATATGAAGACAGTCCTCAACTTGCCTTGAGATAGCATGGAAGACTATGGCTTAAAACCTATTCTGCTGATACATATGAGTTCTTATAGGAAAATATATGTGGAGGAAAATAAAGTTGAATTTACAATAATCAATTATTGACATTGTAATAATTTCATTCATAAATTAATTACATTTTACTTGAAAGGATACTGTAATATACCTAATTAAATAAATACCATGCTAGTCACTAGTGAACAATTTTATTGTTAATTGTTTTGGTTCTGTAATCTACCACCTTTGTTTATTTATAAATCTAAATTGTTTATTAACAATATCTTCTTTATCTAAACTGTTTAATAACAATCTTATCTACTGCCAGATGAATTTTTTGAAGTTTTTTTTTAATAAATAAGAATCAAGCTGTTTAAGTCACATAGATCACATCTTAACAGAGGTGTTTAGGCTACACCACTGATAATGTACTCAGGTTAGGAAAATGAATGTGTTCAAATAGTTTTGTACATGATGCCATCTGTCACGAGTACAGCAAGTCATACCAAAAACAATTAACACTATTTATATAGACACAAACTAAGGAATTTTCTGTATGGGTAAGTCTCTGACATTGAGTATGTAACCAGAAATAGAGATAAAACGTAATTTAATTTGTTTGAAAACTATTCTGCTACATCATTACTGTGACATCTGCGCTCCGATTGGCTAGCCCAAGTTCGAAACAATTGACGGGTGTCGTCAACCATTTCAGTTCTAATCAACCAGTTAACTTGAGCTTTGCTATAATGGACGAATATTGCAAAATTACATATTTAATATTCAATTACCGATGAAATGTGATTATGTTTGATTTGAAATTAGATGTTTCGCTGTTTTTCCCACACCACCGAATAGAACAGCATGGCATTGTTGGAGATCATCTTTATTACAATAAATACAGAATATTTTTTGGAACGTACGGAGACGTACACACAGGTCAGTAGTTGGCCTGTCTATATTTCAGTGCAAACGGGAGTTGATATTTATAAGAGTTGTATCGCTAATGTGTTACCAGGAATACATGGCCCGTATTTCGCCTCTATTTCTGGTTATATACTCGATGGTCTCTGATGTAAGAAATTTCAAAAGCATTTCTAAAATTGTCTATTTACTCGTCACTACAAAATTTCACTCTACAGAGAATCTAATCCAGAAAGAGGAGAAAAAAAATAAGAAACCTTATTATTGTCCTTTTGAAGTTTTTTTGAGCCCCTTTACATATTCAGACCGAAACATCTACTGTTTACTTATTCGATAACTAAATTCGTTAAACCAGTCGTTTTGGAGGACGCGCGGCCCGTACAAAACACTACACATTTATTCTATTTCCAATTTCTGATGTCATTAACGCTGCTATAGGACTATGTAGGTGCTCGGCAAGGCCAAAAGTTGGGAGACAAATTCTACAGCTAAAATACCTCTATTAGAGTATATTTTGGAGTCTAATACAAAAGGGCAAGAGTCTTACTTTATAACAGATCGCATTTTCATCCACAATGATACAGAAATTACACTTTCAAGCGGTAAAATAAAAGTTTTATAATGTCAACAAAAGTATCGTTATGAAACGGTTATTCTTTAGTTGTTTATAGCGTGCAGAAATATGGAGTAAGTGCAAACGTAAAGCTCAATTTAGAACGAGAATAACACGGAATTAGGTTACAGAATGCTTCCGATCGATAAATATAAACGAAAATTCAGAAGTTCCAGCTTACAAAATGGCGGGAATAAACCCGATCGATTGTTAAAGCACGAGATGTGAAGGTAGTGCAACGCCCGTAGGCGTGACCTAAATTCGGTCGGGTTATACATCTGATCGCCCATATGTAAGGTTTCTTATTTCCTACGAGTTTTCTGTAAAGTTGACAGTGATGTTATTAATGTGATGACTACATTACATATAAAAGTTGTTTTCCTCACTGTTTCTGTGCTCCATTTGGGGTTAAAACATCACAAAACACATATTTTTTCACACAATCACTCACACGCCCATACAGTATGAAACAACATCACGCGAATACTACGCCACCTGGTAGCACAACGAGTTCTTTTGCAACTGCAGGGACTTGTCGCTATATTCACACCCATGTTTAATTTAATTTCGCCCCTAATTAACGGTCATTAACTTCGAATTTGGCAAAATGTTGAATTGGGGGTTGATGTTGCTCGCTTCCGTAGGTTTACCCTTGAGACCCTACAAGTGACCCCTGGGTGGTGCTAAAGAGCAATAACTACTGGTGGTAGGCTTCGGCCGTGGCTAGTCACCACCCTCCCGACGCAGTCGAGTCGCCAAATGGTTTTTACCGTGTTCCGACTCGTGTTCGGGAGTTGCCATTTGGAGGTCGGGTCTGAACAGTTGCATTGCGTCTGACGGCGAGTTGTAGCTGCTTGTACTGCCACACTGAGCACTCGGTTCTGGAGGCTAGCGGGATCCGAAGCACGGTGCACCGCTGGCCGACCGTGGGAAGTTGGGGGCCCAAGTAGCGGGAAAGCCACCCGTGAAAGGCTGCCCCGCCACCCAACGAAAAATCCCGGAATGCTCCACCTTGCCGGTTGGCGACCGGAAGGGAGGACCAGGTGGCCATCTCCGGGGGGGTTCGGGCGTCCCCGCGGTCTCCAAGCCGATTGTAACCTCGTGTGGCAGTATGAGTCTGCTGCTTGGTTGAACACGACGCAGTGCCTCGTTCAACTGCCTTCCTCCTGCCTATTCACTTCTCCAAATCCAAAAATGAAAAACTATAAAAATGGAAAAAAGTATACACAGCGGTTGCACGTCCTCCCACTAAAAGTGCACCTCACTAACATCCGAGGTCTGCACTCAAATCTCGATTCGGTCCACTACCACCTTGAAACCGACAAACCGCAGCTGCTGTTCCTCACAGAGACGCAGATCAGATGTCCGACTGACGCAGCGTACCTCAGCTACCCCGGGTATACTCTGGAGCACAGGTTCGTACCTCGTGCCGGAGTCTGTGTGTACGTTCGCGATGACATCTGTGTCAAGCGTCTCAAGAACCTTGAGGCACCGAGTTTTTCAATTTTGTGGCTTCTGGTTGACACAGGAGTTACACAAATAGTGTACTGCTGTGTTTACCGATCGCACAGTGGAGATCAGGAGACGACCAAGCTGTTCCAATATCTAAGTGAGACGTCTGATGAGATTCAGCATAGGTACCCAGCGGCGCAACTAGTCATTCTGGGGGACTTTAATGCACACCATCAAGAATGGTTGTTCCCATACCAGAAGACCGATCACGCTGGGAGAGAGACGCGTAAACTTGCGTTAACGCTAAGCTTATCCCAGCTTGTCAGTGGCGCCACTAGGATACCAGATGTTGAATCTCATACGGCTAATTGCTTGGACCTTCTGCTGACAACTGATCCGGACCGATACTCTGTGGTTGTGGAGGCCCCACTGGGTACTTCCGACCATTGTCTGGTGAAAACTGTATCCGTATACTCCCCACCCGATCAGGGCCCTAGTGGTATGAGACGGGTGTGGCGATACAAGTTAGCAGATTGGGACGAAATGCGCCATTTCTTTGCGTCATATCTCTGGCAGGCGTGCTTTACTTCAGGAGACTCGTCGAGCTGTGCTGATGCTGTAGTCGAGGTCTTGCGTTTGGGTATGGAGTATTACATTCCATACTCTGATGTACCCAATGGACCCCAAGCTCGTCCATGGTTTAACGCTAATTGTAGTTGTGCTGAAGCACGTAAACAGTCCGCGTACCAAGCTTGGGCAGATGCTCGACTACGCAAAACTCCGAGTACTCAGAACATGAAGAAAGCTTTTAATAAGGCCGCCAAGAAGTGCAAAAGCATGTTACGTAGGGCCAAGTTCGACCATGTGCGCCGCATAGGAGCCAAGCTTGCCTCTTATCCAGCAGGCAGCAAATCCTTTTGGTCCCTGGCCAAAGCGGTCGAATCGAACTTTTGTCGCCCATCTTTGCCACCTCTGCTGAGGCCGGATGGCTCGCTGGCTCATACTGCGGAAGAGAAGGCGAATCTCTTTGCCTCACTCTTTGCAGAAAATTCGCGTCTAGATGCCGCAGGGACCCTACCACCTACTTTACCTCAGGCTGGCTGCACTATGGCGCCAGTTCGCATACGCCAAAAAGAGGTACTTAGAACTCTGCGAAATCTAGACGTGAATAAAGCTAGCGGGCCAGATGGAATTCCAGCAATAGTCCTTCGTAACTGTGCACCTGAGTTGTCTCCTGTTCTCACACGCCTGTACCGCCTCTCACTTGAGACTGGTGTAGTTCCCAGATCGTGGAAGCTTGCAAACGTGCAACCTGTACCAAAAAAGGGAAGCAGAGCTGACCCTGTCAACTATAGACCTATCTCAGTCACTTCCATACTCTGCAAGACTATGGAACGTGTACTCAACAACCGTCTCCTATCGTACCTTGAAGACAACGATCTCCTCAGTGATCGCCAGTACGGATTCCGACGAGGGCGATCTACTGGGGATCTTCTTGTGTATGCCTGTCACATATGGAGCGAGGCTATAGAAAAGCAAGGCGAAGCACTTGCAGTGTCTTTGGACATTTCTAAAGCCTTTGACAGGGTCTGGCACGCAAGCCTTTTAAGCAAGCTTCCCTCTTATGGGCTTCCCACTGACCTTTGCAATTGGATCTCGGATTTCTTGAGCGAACGTTCGATTCGAGTGGTCTTAGAAGGCTACTCTTCCGAACATATGGCGATAGATGCCGGAGTTCCTCAGGGTTCCGTACTGTCTGCAACTCTCTTTCTGCTGCATATCAATGATATGTTAATTCCAGGTACCTTTGCGTATGCTGATGACAGCACAGTTGTAGATAGGTACTTGACCAATGCAAGGGTCAGTGGAGAGGAAATCCAGTCTTGTCGAGAGTCCATGGTTAGCCGTTTAGATTTGACACTCCAGGCAGTCTCCGATTGGGGCAATGCCAATCTTGTCAAATTTAACGCTACCAAAACGCAGGCGTGTCTATTCTCCACAAAACGGAGTCCCTTTGAGCTGACTCCGACTTTTCGTGATATATCCATACCGATAGCCGATTGTCTCCAGCTACTTGGAATGGACCTGTCGTCCAATTTGAACTTCGGCAGATACATTGAATCCACGGCCAAAAATGCAGCAAGGAAGCTTGGGATCCTTTCCAGGGTGAGGCGGTACTTTACACCGGGACAGTTGCTCCAGCTGTACCAGGCACAAGTCCGATCGTGCATGGAGTACTGCTGCCACCTTTGGGATGGCTCTGCGACATATCAACTGGCCACTTTGGATTCAATTGACAACCGTGCCAAGAGACTTATAGGTGACTCGGAATTAGTGGAGGCGAAGCTGCAGAGCCTTGAACACCGCCGTAAAGTTGCCTGCTTATCGGTATTTTACAGGATATATCACGGAGAGTGTGCGATGGAATTACATGATTTAATTCCGCCTTCCCCTTTCCATCACCGGGGGACTAGGCGTAGGCTTGGGTTCCACCCCTATGTTGTGGATATTCCAAAGATTCGCACGAAGCGTTACGCTTCCACATTTATATGGCGAACGGCTATGGAGTGGAATTCCCTGCCTGCAGACTTGTTCCCTGAACGTTATAACTTGGACCTTTTCAAGGCGAGAGTGAATAGGCATTATTTAGGTGTGCATGCTCCATCGTCGACCTCATCGTCACTTTCCATCAGGTGAGATGGAGGTCAAATGCGCACCTATATTTTATATTAAAAAAAAGAGCCCATCCCCACATCATAGATGCCTGGCATTATAAGTCCACACGGGCATTACATTCGTTCCTTCCTCGAACCTGCGAGATGTGAATGATCTTCTTCCTAAAGTAATTCCTTTGCGCTATGACGCAGGGTTCTTCGAAAAGCGTGTCAACAGGGTTCGCAAAAGCTGATAACGCAAAAAATTTCTTAGCATTAAAATAGAATTTTTTAGGTAGCTGTAAAGGTATCTAACTGGATGACGAAATACTTAAGATTACTCATAGATGGCGCTACGGCTGAAAAGTCGTTGAAAAAACCAAATACATTAGTATGATGACATCGTATTGCAAGTCCGTAGATTCCAACGTAACAATAAACTGATCAAGATTTTTGTTTATACTTCGTATATTCTGATGAACAACACTAACACATATATATATAATAGCGACATCTCTCGCCAGGACTGGTAGCTGTAAAGGTACTAACTGGGTGATAAATCTGTAATAGATTTCTCATAGATGGCGCTACGACTAAAAAGT